GGTGAGTAGTACCAGTTGAATGGTGCTAGAGGTGTCAGGTCACTTGTGTCAGATCAGTAATATCAGTTCAGTGGTGTCAGAGGTATCAGGTTATTGGTGTCAGATCAGTAATATCAGTTCAGTGGTGTCAGAGGTGTCAGGTTATTGGTGTCACGCCAGTGGTTATCAGAACAGCGGTGTCAATAATGGTAGAGTTGTCTGTCAGTTAAATGGTGTCAGACACACACATTAAGTTATCAGTGTCAAGGTAGTGGTGGTAGTGGTGGTGTCAGTCATGGGTGTCAGATCAGAATCCATTACTTCGGCTAAGGTTAAAGACGCAATTGAGTTCCCTGTAAGCGTGTCAGGTGTGTGTCAGTCAAAAGGCAGGCGGTTGTCCCCTGACTCCGAGTAACAATGAATAAGGAATAAGAGAGATAGGTAGTAGGCAGCTATCAAACAGGGAGGTACTACCGCCTGGGAAGATATTGGCAGCATAATGTGTTGTCTAATGGTAGACCCTGCTGCCATATGGCATCACGAAAATTGTGACCAAGTCCCAGGTTGCTGATCTGACTTTCTGCCTCATTTAAACACAATTGCAGGGTCTCAATTGTCTCTCTTACTATTGACGACACAACATACATATATCGTTTCTCACTATTGATCTTTTTTTTCCATTTTTGTATTTCTTTATGGTTTATTATTATTATTATTATTAATATTATTATTATTATTATTATAATCATTATTATTATTATTATTATTATTATTACATTTTTGCTCCCAGGCCCCGATAACTGAGATAAAGAAAAAGAAGAAGAAACATAAGAAGAAAAAGAAAAGAAAAGAAAAGAAAAGAAAAGAAAAGAAAAGAAAGAAGGAGAAGAAGAAGAAGAAAAAGAAGAAGAAGAAGAAGAAGAACCATATCACAAAAAATAAATAAATCCCCAAATATCCTAACTCTAACGTGATTGGTTAAGAACTCAAGATAACATTCTCCCGAGGCGTTGATTGGCTGAAAGCGCATAACACCTTTAAAAATTCAATTAGTCATTTACAGCACTTAACTACCCAATATACAACATATTTTATTTTTTTTTACATTTACAGATTGTTAAATGTATCTATGGTAAATTATAACTCCAGTCCAAGTTATTTAACATTAACATTAACAATTACGTGAACAGAAAACGACTCCCGTTTTTCTATTGGATAACATCAAGTCTATTTAGTGATAATTTAATTTTTCTTATTAATATTAAGATCGTTTAGTAGTTTTCATAAGATAGTTATCTATTAATTAGTCTTGTGTTGATAGTGAAGCCTGGTTGAATTGGTAGTGAAGCTTGGTTGTGTTGATAGTGAAGCCTGGTTATGTTGATAGTGAAGCTTGGTTGTGTTGATAGTGAAGCCTGGTTATGTTGATAGTGAAGTCTGGTTGTGTTTATAGTGAAGCCTGGTTGAGGTGACAGTGAAGTTTGGTTGTGTTGATAGGGAGCTTGGTTGTGTTGATAGTGAAGCTTGGTTGTGTTGATAGTGAAGCCTGGTTGTGTTGATAGTGAAGCCTGGTTGTGTTGATAGTGAAGTCTGGTTGTGTTGATAGTGAAGCTTGGTTGTGTTGATAGTGAAGCTTGGTTGTGTTGATAGTGAAGCCTGGTTATGTTGATAGTGAAGTCTGGTTGTGTTTATAGTGAAGCCTGGTTGAGGTGACAGTGAAGTTTGGTTGTGTTGATAGTGAAGCTTGGTTGTGTTGATAGTGAAGCTTGGTTGTGTTGATAGTGAAGCCTGGTTGTGTTGATAGTGAAGCCTGGTTGTGTTGATAGTGAAGCCTGGTTGTGTTGATAGTGAAGCCTGGTTGTGTTGATAGTGAAGCCTGGTTGTGTTGATAGTGAAGCTTGGTTGAGGTGATAGTGAAGCTTGGTTGTGTTGATAGTGAAGCCTGGTTGTGTTGATAGTGAAGCTTGGTTGTGTTGATAGTGAAGCTTGGTTGTGTTGATAGTGAAGCTTGGTTGTGTTGATAGTGAAGCCTGGTTGTGTTGATAGTGAAGCTTGGTTGTGTTGATAGTGAAGCTTGGTTGTGTTGATAGTGAAGCTTGGTTGTGTTGATAGTGAAGCTTGGTTGTGTTGATAGTGAAGCCTGGTTGTGTTGATAGTGAAGCCTGGTTGTGTTGATAGTGAAGCCTGGTTGAGTTGATAGTGAAGCTTGGTTGCGTTGTGATGACAGAGTGAAGCCTGGTTGTGTTGACTAGAAGGATCGGTAGATTATACCAGGTGAAGCCTCAGTGAAGCCCTATAGCAGGTGGGTCAGTAAGGGTCATGAAACCTCAGGGCTTTCCGAACAACGCTGATGGTGGTGATGGTGATGATGGTGGTGATGGTGATGATGGTGATGGTGTTAGTTATGATAGTGGTAGTAGTTGTGGTGTTGATGGGACGTAATGATGGGGGTAAAGTGTGATGATGGTGATAGTGGTGAGGCGGAATGGTGGTGAAGGTGGTAGTTGCATAGTGATGGTAGTGTAGTGGTAGTGGTGGGGTAATAGTGGGGGTAATGGTAGTAGTGGTGGGGTGGGTAATGGCATGGGCAGTGGTGTATTAAATAGATCCACTCCCTTCCCATTTTCTGTGATGGTGATGGGAATAAGGGAAGGAAAGGTAATGGATAATTAATCTGATTTTCTCCCTTTTCCTTCTATCTCCTCCCTTTCCCATATATCCCCTAATCCCCCTTTTCACCTCCCCTCTCTATTTGCAATTTGGTGAGAGTGGTAGTGGTGGTAGATATCTCCTTCCCCATTCTCCCTTAATACGCCTCCTCTCTCTCCTCTCCCCCTTAATTCATCTCCCTTTCCCATTTCCCCCTTACCCTTAACCCGTCACCCCTTCTCCCTTTCCTACAAACCGGAAGTGCCACCCTGATCTCTGCCTTGTGACCCACGACTATAGGGCTGCCCTGAAGAAGACTTCCTGGTGTATCCTCATACATACATACATACATACATACATACATACATACATACACCAGAATCGAAAAAACGTACATACGGGTGTTGGTTTCTTCCCACATGAATACACTCGGAATATGAAAAACGTACATACAATGATGTCTGGATCGTAGCATACGCACATAGGCTGAATCGTTGAAACATACACATACACACACACACACACACACACACACACACACACACACACACACATATAATGAAGTTTTTGCACAGGTGCACACACGAAATATATAACACGTACATACATATACCAGTGTCGGGATCATTCTATACGCACACACCTGAATCGTTGAAACGTACACAGCTAGGCGTTGGGGGTCTTTTCGCATGTACAGAGGTCACGGTCGGTGGTGTTAAGCTGTCAATTTTCCACATCCTCAACACTCACACCTGTACACCGCCTCTCACACACACACACACACACACACACACACACACACACACACACACACACACACACACACACACACACACACCAATGTCTTTCTTTTTTTTATCAGGTACCTTCGACGATCTCTCTCTCTCTCTCTCTCTCTCTCTCTCTCTCTCTCTCTCCTCGTGCCTGGGTTACTTCTTAACAACTCCCTCCTCCTCCTAAACGCCCCTCACCGCCGAGTCACTATGTTTAAACAGAGTAATTATGGGCAGGGGGGGGAGGGAGAAAGAGGGGGGAGGGGGGAGTGGGTGGTGGGTGCCACCGGCTGGATAAAATAAGACAGGGGTCCATTCAGTGAGTAGGAATGAATGAATGAAAGAAGGAAAGAGGAAGAACACCCCCTAGGAGGCAAGAAGGGGGAAGAACACCCCCTAGGAGGCAAGAAGGGGGATTTGGGAACAAGATGTAAACAAAAACAAACGTAGCAGGGCTGTTGGGGATCTCTCTCTCTCTCTCTCTCTCTCTCTCTCTCTCTCTCTCTCTCTCTCATTCATTCTCTATCTACTTGTCTCCCTCCTTCTCTCTCTCTCTTTTTTACTCTTCCACTCTCATTTCCTATCTATTTACTTCCTCTCTCACCCTTCTTTCTCCCTCCCTCACCGCTGCAACACCTCTCTTCTCCCGCCACTAAATCCTGTTCTACCATACACGTTTGGTAAACATCACCACCCAACCATAAACTCACTACTGTCACATTCTTTAACTCCTCAGAGGGGTAACCAGGACCATGTGGTGATAGCTCCTCTTAGCCTTGGGTAGTGATGGGAGCTATGAACGCCACTAAATGGTTAAATGATAGTGTCGTAAAATTTTCTGAATGGCGGAGTCTTTTTTTTTTATTTAATGGGTGGGGGTGGGTGTTAAGTCGTGTGGGTATGGGGGAGTTATGATTTAAGGGTAGGGGTTGTTATGTATGTTTGAGTATACAGTAATCTATGAGTTTGAATGGAGACGGAAACTGTGTTTGTGTACTGGAGGTGTGTGTGTGTGTGTGTGTGTGTGTGTGTGTGTGTGTGTGTGTGTGTGTGTGTATGTCTAGTCATGTATGTGTGTGTATACTCATACATATTTATATTATGTGGGTTTCGATATACATTTTGTTTGTATGTACGCAATCTTGTGTACATTTGATATATGCGTGTCAATCCTTCAGGTGTGAGTGCTTGTGAACATCTGTACACACTCTTCAAAGAGGGAAACCACTTCTACCCTGGATGTCCTTGTATGTCTTAGGGATCAGGCCACACACACACACACACACACACACACACCACCTACCTGCTGAGAGAGAGAGGACTTCAATTATTAACTACTCTCACAAATCCTAAATCTTACTTAGACAAATTACTTCCTTGCCTACTTAATTAGGTTATTTAGTTACTTAATACCTACTTATCTTGGTTACTTACATGCTTACTTATTTATTCACTTTAATTAATTAGGAAACTTGTATTATTATTTAGTTATTCACTTATTTATATTATTTAAACACTAAATTACTCGATGTTATTTATATTTTTCTCGTTCAATCACCTGACCTCTGTGTGACCTAACTTGACCTTGTTCTCCGGCAGATGAGTTTGGGTCTTCCGGTGACCTGGGTGAGGGACAACCCACCCCGAAGGTGTTGCCTTTGGTGAAGGAGGGAGGTTACGAGGCCGCCGCCCACCCCGCCCAATATTCACCCACTCAGCCCCTTCCCGACCTCTACCAAGACTCTGCGCAGGTAATACACTTTTTAATATTTTTGTTGTATCACCTGAAAATTAGACCCTCACCTTGTATCACCTGAAAATTAGACCCTCAGCTTATTTCACCTGAAGATCAACCACCCTAATGCTAACCTAGCCCAACCTTGCCTAACCTAATTTAATCTGACCCAACTTTATTCTTGTTTTGATTTCTTGGGTCACTTGAAGATTAGGCACCCCAACTTATTTCACTTGAGCACTAACCATTCTAATGTTAACCTAACTTAACCTAACCCACAATTCGCCTTAGGATGGTTAATCTTCATGTGAAATTAGCAAGAGCGTTTAATCTTCAGTTTATCTCATTTATTTAATAATTTCAAAGTCAATAATAGAATTTAAATTGATAAAAATGTCTTAATAGTTTCTTTTACGCTCTCTATCAATCAATAATATACATATAATTTCATATTTAAATTTCTATAAAATATTCAAACTTATGACTTAATGGTATGTGTGTGTCTGTGTCACTACCTTGAAATATCCACAAACATAAAATACATCGTCTCTGGTGATAATCTCTACTTAAACAATGAAATGATATCGTGTCTTACTCAGTAGAATAATGTCGAGCATCTAGAATTAAGTAACTGAACTGGATGTTTGGTGTGATTAACTTTCCCTCATAAGGTGTAACAGATTCCCTTCAGCATTATGCCCACACCACCACGTCCTCTTGGTCTACACAGAGTAATTCTTTCCTCTCTCCAGGGTGGCGGTGGTGAGTCCTCTCAGGGTTACTCCCAACACCAACCTCACAAGACGACCTCACGAGAGCAACAACATCAGCAACAACATCAACAACAACATCAACAACAATATCAACAGCAACATCAACAACAGCATCAACAGCAGAGGCATCACCAACAGCAACAGCGATATCACCAGATGCAGCAGGATCAGCAACAGGACCCGCTGACGGCCCTTGCCTGAGGCCACACCGACCATGGACCCTCACAGGACACTCACACACACCCCAGATGATCCTTCACCTACAGTTAGGAATGACAGAAGAATTAATCAGCAATACACAATCTTCTCTAAACATGTAGAAGCTAAGTCCAAAAATGAGACAGCCACCGACAGCTTTCTGCCTACCTAGTGATGACCCAATCGCTGGTACAGGCAGATAGGCGACACCAACTTCTACTGTTAATTCTCCATGGCTGCACCAGAGGGACTTGAGGCCATGGTTAAAATCACTGCATGACTGACAGAGCAAAGTTGTTTGGCAATATTTTTCTGATAATTAGTATTTCCTGTGTTTTTATATCAGAGAGTGGAACTTTCCCCCAATTTTACAACGTCAGGTACTCAAGTTGGCACCCCGCAATGTGTGATCTGTTGAGGGTTGATAACATGTATATATGAAGACGAGAAATAACACACCTTATGAAAAGAAAGTTTTGTAATTAAGATATATAAAAAAAACCCACATAAATAGAAAACTTAGATGCTAATGATATATCGTTTGACAAATATAACTTCTTCTTTTTTTTGGCTATTTTTATTGTTAAGCGAGACGTGACCGACGTTCTCAAGGTGTGGTACTTAGTTTTGTCTCTTCACCTGCAGGACAACAGAGGGTCTTCATCAGCCTCCCTCAAACACTCAACAACAACACGATCTCATCAAGCCCCAAAGATTACCACATAAAATATTATCATACTAGCATAATATATATCTTATAGTGCAAATACACACACACACACACACACACACACACACACACACACACACACACACAAACACACACACACACACACACACACACACACACACACACACACACACAGTTTTCACACTATTGGCTCACCGCTTGTTAACCTCTCCACTGGTTTGGGGAGACAATTGCTTGTCTTGTTGCTTGTTTCAGTCTAGGCCGAGTGTTTGTAGGCAGCTACCAATGCAATCACTTACTTTCTGAGGCGTTTGTTTTGGTTTCTGGACATTTATTCTCTCATATCTTGGTGTACTTTGTTTTTGTATATAATGTATACATATATCGCACTTTTTTTTTATCCACAGGTGATTTATATAACTCATTAAGCATCTGACGGACTGATTGAACGTCAGTCCATCGGCATACACGAATCATGCATAATATATACATGTACATAATAAACTACCTATTCCAATATTACTTTAGAGCATAGATAATCAAGACTATATTATATAAGTTTTTTGTCAGATGTAAGGCGAGGCGCTGGTTTTGTGGCGTCACTTTGATGGGGCGAGATGACACAAGCTGTTAGTATATTAGCTAGAGTAAGATGGCGAGAGTCTGTTAGCTTAGACAGCTTGACACACAGTCTATTAGCTGAGACAAGTTGACATAGTCTGTAAGTTGACACAAGTTGAGACAGTCTAGTAGCTAAGATGTTAAGTTTACACATAGTTAACTGAGACAAACTGACACTTTGTTGTGAGACCAGTAGACAAGATCTGTTAGGTCAGACAAACTGCCATAGGCTGTTAGGTGTATAGACCTTACTTAGTTTTTGACGATGGAATTCAGTATCATCTGGGCTACATCTGTTTTATAGTAGTGACGTCACACGTATCCGGAGTCTACTGGATTCCTGCGTCGAAAATTGTAAACAAGGATCTGTAGACGGGAGCCAAGTGATAGGTTATGTCTGAGGACGATGGTTAGGTGGGAGATGTTTTTAATTGTGTTGTCATTGTTAGTTAAGGCGACGGTGACCGGGGAGAAAAGGTCACGAGGCCTTTAAGTTAGGTCAATATAATGAACAAATCATTTAATATAAAATAGAGAGGTCAAGAGTAATTTAAATGTTTCCTCACAAAAGTTCCTACTGCGTTATCAAACAAACACACATAAAAAACGTGACTGTTAACTCCGTGTTGGGAGACCTTAACTGATGTTGGTGAAACTTGTGTCAGGGAGTCAGGACAAAGTATGTCATCTGCGACTTAGTTTAGGAGACTAGCGATGACGTCACTGAAGAGAGTACAGTTTATGATAGGAGTATACGCGACTATGATGCATGTATGTTACGGGTACAGGTGTGAGTCAGAGGAAGCTCAAGGTATAACAGGAAATTTTTTTGTAGTGGTGACCTTCGGGTTTGGTTGATGGGCGAGGTACCTTACCTACACGATTTGTATATTGGTGTGTATAGTTGTACATATACCATTTTTAAATTGCCTATATCCACCTGGAGCGTGGAGACTACACCCACACACCGGGTCACATCACATGAGAGCTTAGTACTATTGTTTATGGTAGTAGGCGAATGAACTACCATGTACTCAGTTATCTCATACAAAATAATAATAAAGTTCATTCGTGAAGTTGTTGATCTGGCTACACAGGTCTGCTGTTGCTAAACACATGATACCTCTGTCTTCGAGGGCAGGAGGTCCTCTCTCTCTGTGTCAGGGCAGGAGGCACTGACATGGTACACCGTTGTGCCTGAGAGAACTACGAGAGGCGAGGCGCACACGTCATTATCACGGGTTCTCCCATTCATTTAAATCGTTGCAAGTCTCCTCGCTAACGTCTTGCTAAAGGTGACTCCACTAGCGACAGCTGAACTCTTCGACGTTAAAGTACGACATTCCTTTATCACGACCAATCTTAAAGTGTTGGATTTTATTCAGTAAAGTTCTTAGGCAACATATTTTCCTAACTTGTGGGGACGCAATATAAGTGGGTCTTACGTTTGTAGACGTCCATCTAACTGCCTGGATATTTGGTTAGCAGGCGAGGTATTTACGTGTCTGAATATCTATCTGGCTATGTACTTATCTGACTGCCTATCTTGCTGGCTTGCTGGTTGCCTGTTTTCCTGCCAGTCCACGAGCAGCACATGAAGCAGCCACAAAAATCTCCAACCAATCCCAGACTAAACAGTACACAACAACACACCTCGAACACTACAGAATGCCTTAGAATTTAGAGGTGACTGACCCGCGCTTCACCCTGTCAGGCGACCAGCAGCAGGCGAGCCCTTATTGAGGCGTCTTGCAGGGGTAAGGTCCAGCTGGCCTCAATTTGACTGGTCTACACCATTCTCTGAAGCATGATCCCGTTGTCTCGCGTCACGGTAGTCGGGGTCGTATTATATCTTCCCTTTCCGTCATATTGATTTTTGCAACGTCAACATCTAATGCGGAACTCTAGGGTTCGCGCGTTACCGCCTGTTCTGTGCGTTCGTCACGGACATGTGTTACTTGTGTCGTCGAGCCACGCCTGTATGCGTTAGCGCATTAGTTATAAGTTAATTTTTACTTGGTAAGTTCGTCGCTTTTGTCATAACATATTAAAATGCATGATGTATGACTCACAAGGTGATATGGGGGGCGGGCTTGTCATGTATCCATTTGTTGACAGAGAGCGCGAGTCATATGCCCAGTTGTTGACAAGAGGCGTCTTTGTCGTGCACCCATTTGTTTATATGTGGCGCCTTGTCATGCAACCATTCACTGACATGGAGCTCCTTGTCATATACCCATTTGTTTACATGGGGCGATTGTTATATGCCCATATGCAGTTTATCGTACCCATTCACAGGCATATCTCCTGCTGACAATCACACTGTCACAGGCTTACACACATTCGTCAAAACTTGTACATTGTCATAACTCCCACCAAGTTACACAGGTGAGCTGTCATAACATCCACCGAGGAACACAGGTGGTCTGTCATAGTCATTAACATAATTTGCATATTCATACTATTAAAGCGAGGGACGATCAGCATAAGAATATAACGTTAACAAAACACGTAAGTTATACACCGCAGGCAATACACAGCATGTCGACCACGTGGCTTTCCAATAAAGGAGTATTACGTCCAGTAATATATAAATAAATATTTAGCCTTAGATAGCTTCTTGAGATAGCTTTTGCGATAGTTGGTCTCCGGGTTTCCACGTGTTATCTCTCTCTCTCTCTCTCTCTCTCTCTTTCTCTCTTGGGATATCTCTTGGTAGCAGATTCTTGAGAAAGACGCCATTGGTTTCAGTTTCGTTATCATACTTCCATGGTCCGAATGTCGCGGCAGGGACGCGGGTTTTACTTTCATGGTCTAACTTTCGCTGTATTAGGTCCACTAGCTGCTCCCACTTTCACCTTCTTCAGTTACTTTTACTTGCGCGGTATTATTCTGGGCAGTTTGTCTCACTTTCGCGGTTTCAGTTCCGTGATGTCTTATTTTTCGCGTTTTTCCCCTTTGCGTTCGTCTCGTTTTCGCGCTCTCTCACCCTAACTCACAACATCGGCTTCTTGTTGTTGTTGTTGCTGCTGTATAATAATAAAAGACAAAAACAAATAAAATTCTCTTCACAAAACAACAGTCGTGGACGCTGGTGCAAAATATCCTATAGACTTATTATATAATCTATAATCATCTCATCTATAATATTCAATAATTTTCTAACTAGCAATTAACAAAAAAGAATAAAAAATCTCACATAAAATATTTCCGTATTGTAATTCCTTCTCGCTACTACTGTTTTATTGTTTAGTAATTAACAAATATTTAATATGAATCAGACCCCCAAAATTATGTAACCCACCCCCCCAAAGAGTACCTCTTAGGGGGGGTGGGAGGGGGAGAGATTCAGAATTTATATAAAACCCCGAAATATTGTAATTTGTCAAAAAATCATAAACATTCAATTGTATATTTACATCAGATCTATACGTGATATTTTGATTTATTAAAAAATGATATCTTGAAAAGTGATAAAGATTAGTATATATTAAGTTGTTTTTTCAGACATACGGTTCACCAACACACACATAGTTATTCACCAACGGTTGAGAGATTCACCTATACCACCTGTCTGACTCACCTACACCTGAGTCACAAACACCTGTATGAGTGTTCATTTTACACACAGCCAGAACTACCTCGCAAACCCCTCGTGTTTTTGTTGTTTTTTTAGTTTTTCTGTTTTCCTGCACGTCAGTAAGTTCTACCCTTCACAGTCGAAAAAAACGCATATTATCAACTTTTGAGCAAGAAAAACATACATACATACACTTGCATACATGCTACTTGACTATGTAATTCCTATGGTGAAATATGTATATACACAGCATTTATGTAACCTATGTACTGGTGAACTATCATCAGTATGTAAGCTACAGAAATACAATGCATATATTTTGGATGTACATACATTATATATTGATGATACGTCACCATTGTGTAATTTATAATAATAATGATGATAATAATAATAATAATAATAATAATAATCTACATATATTTAGAATATCTGTGAATTATGTATTGGTGAAATGTCATCATTATGTAATGTATGATGATAATAATAATAATAATAATAATAATAATAATAATAATAATAATAATAATAATAATAATAATAATAAGAATAATAAAAATAATATTAATGCTAACAACACTACATATATTTAGAATGTATGTAAGTTATGTATTAGTGAAGAACTGTTTTTGAACTGTGAAAATCAAATTCCCAATCAAATTACAATGGTAGTCGAGTTTCTCCGCTTCTTAGTACACGCGTAATGTTGCCGTTGTGGTCAGGTTCACACTGCAGTTGACCATATACAACCTACCAGATTTTAATATTTGTTAAATAAAAGAAATACTCAACCGGTGTCCCTATTATTAACCTAACAACATGGTGGATGGGAGACTTGTCCTGTGTTAGGTTTATTTGTGTATTATGTATCGTAATAGTTCAAAATAACTATAGTTTATGTAATGATATAATGATCTTCGCACTATAATGAACGTTTAGTCTCAATGTCCAAAAGAAATTATTTACAATCTGATTTTATTTTTTTACGTCGTACAATTTTATTTGTCTTGAGTTTCGAACCTTTGAGAATTATCTCTTAAAAAGTCATCTGAAAAATAAAAAATAAATAGATTTAAATAGTACAATATATAGCAACAACATCAATACCTTCAGAGGGATACGATAGTTTCAGGTTAAGTTTTTAGAATTACGAATTTAAGTCCATAATTATGAAGGCAGCCAATGGTCTGTGTAGGAACTTTGTCTAAGTGTATTTTGAAACCCAGTACTGTTGTTGATGCCGCGGGTTGGGGTGGTAGACGGTTCCATAGGTCTACCAGCCTCTGTGTGAAGAAGAATTTCCTTATGATCTTTTAGAACAGGCATGAATTGTTGGTATAAAAACTTTAATGGAGCAGAGGGTTATATGTTTTTCGTTTCCTAGACTAGTGTACAGCATACCTAACCATGCTACGCGCTTAATGACTTTCGTTGTTGAACCGTAGTAATGACAACAACAACCCACTGGAAATTCTTTGACTGAGTATTAAATACAACCAAATATAATAATAATAATAATAATAATAATAATAATAATAATAATAATAATAATAATAATAATAATAATAATAATAATAATAATAATAATAATAATAATAATAATAATAATAATAATAATAATAATAATAATAAATAATAATAATAATGATAATAATAATCATTCAAAGAATAAGGATGGTTTACTAACTAGATACACTCGGACAGGGACGGTGTGAAATGACGTATAGAGACCTGGGGGGGAGGGGGGGGGGGGCTCTATACGCCATTTCACACCGCCACTGTACAACAGACGGCTAATGGGTTAATGGCGTCCTAGGTGATACTCTGTATAAAACATGACTCAGACTAAAAATGCCTGCATTCTGAGATCAAAACTAACTTCTATTCTAAGTCATTAGCCAGCTCATTCACGTAATTACCTGGGATGTAAACAAACACGGTGGTGCCACATCCTTTCAAACACTCAAGCTTTTTTTGCACGTGGAGTGCGGAGGACTGTACCTAGACAGTGCAGATACAGTATACAACAGTTGTAAACAATACAGGGGCGGATCCAGGAGGGTTCTGGGGGTCCGGAAACCCTTTTTCATCAGAAAATTCCAATACTTTTTCTTTAATGCAGTATTGTACTCAGGCATTTTTGTATAGTAGAAAATAATTACCATTGATCTCAGAATATCTCCTAATAACAAGTGCACATGGCCTTAAGATGCCAATGATATTCCTCAGATTTCCAAAAAAATTCTGGGTGGGCTCGCTGTGCTCGCCATGTTCTTCCACCTACAACTTCTTGGGCACCCCCCCCCCCTTTGACATTCCTGGATCCGCCCCTGATAATAAGGCAATTTGACCCAGAATGTCCGACAAAGCTGTCAGTGATCTGTGACCAGGAGGCTGCTTGATTCATTTAATCATAGTAATGAATTAATTATGTTGTTACATCAATTACAGCGGTTTCAAATGCCCCCAAAGGCTTCACAGAACAGTTAGGCACAGTACTGGGAGGAGTTAGAAGTTAAACATGAATATCCACCTTTATTTTAATTGACTTATAAAGGCTCCTGGTATTCTTTTAAATGATTCTATTAGAATAGTATAGAAAATACTGGTTACACGAGTTTTTCGTTTACATAATAACTGTTTATATTTTTTTACCTAAGTTACCCAAGTAAAATTCTCTTTAGTATTACTATCATAGAAAACGTATGTCTTTTAATTGTAAACTATTTTATTGTACTTCTCACCCATTTATTCTATTACTATTTACACGGGCTCATCCTGATACCTAAATATATATTAAAAAGAATAAACAAAATAAAATAGCCTTAATAGCTTTAATAGCCACATCTCAAGGATAGAGTTCCTATTGTGTATGTCATAGAAATATGCTAACATGCCGTATAGGTCAGGTAACATAATTATTACTTCTCTATCATGGTGTTTGGTGAAAAAATTATAAATAAAAAAACTGTGCAAGAAAAACTTTACTTTACGTTATATATTAAAGATGTGATGTGGTCCCTCAAAACGCCTGAATTCTCAGTCCATTAGATATCTATGTCAGCTCGAGTATCCAGGTACACTGAGGGCCATAGGACTAACAACCCTTCAGACAAGGCACAATAGGGCAGATCTCATTGAAACATTAAGAATCCTGAAAGCGGATGGAAAACGTGAACCCGGGCCATTTCTGTGTCATGTCACACGCCACCAATAAACTCGCCAAGTTATCATGCAGAACGAACATGAGGAAAATCTTCTTCACACAGAGGCTGGGAAACACTTATACATCTTCATTATATACTACGCCGCCTGAGAGCCTACAGTGCTGAGACATACATAACCAAATCAATACAGATGACTCTTCTTACAGTACTAAAGAAACACAACAAAATCCCATTAAAGATTATGTTTGAATTTCATAAAATATTTGAAATTTCATGTTGGTAGTGAGCGATCTGTTGTGAGTGGTTGGTGTCCAGGGGATTGTTTTTCTTGATAAATGTTAACAAAATTTTATTACACGTGATGTATTTAACCGAAAAAATAAAACTCCGGTTGAACAGGATTCATTACCGATAAAGATTTCGACACACAATTTTCACACCTTCGTCTAGATTTTAGAATATAAATTAAGTTAAATTTAAGTTAGTTAGATGTCTTAGATAAACAATTTAAGTACAACAGTCAACAATACAACTACTATTTACTTTAGAGAAAACGGTTCCTCTCCATACAAGTTGTCAAAGAAAACGATGCCATTTAATATATAGTCATGGGTAACTGTAACTAATCCATGCATTCTGAACACTACTTAGTCTTTATTTCTTACAAATCAAACAATAAAAAAAACTGCAAATTATCTGAGTATTGAGTATATTACTAGAAGCTAGTTGCCCTACAGTACAATAATTAACCCCTTACAGGCCAGTGCCGCAGATAGGTATGTTATTCTGGGTAACGCCAAACGATTTTATTCAGGTGAGAAAAGCCTCTGCCCTCTAAATTATTAAAGATATTACCAGTTCCTCCTCTCAATTTAGGTTATTATAAAACATCTTCAGTCCCAACCAGACAGCAGAGACTAAAGTTAGAGGAGTTATCAGTACAGAATAGAGAAAGACTTCATGTGTCTGTAGTAAGGGTTGTGTTTAACTCTCGGAATAACCTGCCAGAGAACGTTGTGACAGCGCCGTGTTTGAGTTCCTTTAACACTAGACATGGCCAACACTGGAATATGTTCAGGACTTGTCAACAGTGTGTAACAGAGAACTTCCTGACGGCCCTACCGACTAATACGCTGACAGGTGGCGAAGGTGTTCAAGTAAAGTAACTGTCATCTGATGTTCCTAAATCTTGGACTTGCTCAGGTGTGATTCTTTATACAATAAATATCATTCATCACTTAATATTTTCAACATTTTCTTATAATACAAATGCTACAAAGACTGTATAAACCTAACCTAACCAAACCCAACAAAACTTAACCTAACATTAACACTTAAGATCACGGTAGCTTCATACTTCACCTAACTCTCTCAAGCCACATATTTGCCTCCTCATTATTTCCTATTAACTTTATATTTTCCCTTCATAAAACTCTTATTTAATCTTAGCTATGTATCTAACCTCCAATTTCTGTTACTTTTCAATTTTATCAAATGTTTAGCATTCTGTTAATCATAAAGTAAAGGCTTCAAAGGCTTCAATATTATACTCTACCTAAACTATATGAAGCCTCTAATTCAACTCGATCTAATTCTTCTCTTATATCATACTTCCCATTATATCATGTTATATCTAATCTTTATAATCACCGGTTAAAAATCTATTAAAGATTCCATTT